AATTGCTTTCTATTTAGCATTTACACAGGGTAATACTAAATTTATAAATAATTTATATTAAAAAAAATACTACAAAATATATATCATATATACAGTGATACCAAAAACGGACGATCCGTTTGACTTTGGGGAGAAGCCCACCGAATATGATGTGACGGAACATGTAATCAGTTTATTAAACCCGATCGCAGATATGATGCGTGAGGCAGAGGCCCAGTACTACCGGACACAAGGGCTTACGGTTCACATACTGTTATACGAAGATCTAATAAGGTGGGCCAAAGAAATACTACCATGGGCTAGAGATCTACTACTGGCTATTGAACCGGAACCTATACGGCATGTCATTGTAACGCATTTTGTTGGCGAAGTAGCCAGGTTAAATTTTATGGCTACACGTTTGACTCGGCTAAGAGCTGGTAAGTCTATTGAAATAAAACCAGGCGCTGATGAGCAATCGCTGTTGACCTTGCTGAAAGCACTCGAACAATCCATTTACCGAGCATTAGATCACGTGATTGCAGAGCCGAGACACCCATTTTGGGGGACTTTTCATCAAGAGGTTGTGTTTAATACTTACCTAATAATTTACACTTATATTATTTTAAGAAAGTACAATAAAATATCATTTGCATCTAGGTTAAGAGATTTATGACAATTGAGTTCTCGAAATTATATAAAGCTATAGACGAGTTACCCGCTGGTGAGGCAAAACTCAAGAATATTCTATTGATCACGATGGATTTAACACATGCTATGCTACCGCCACTGTAAATAAAATTAAGTAAATGTTTTAACATAAAAAAATAAATATTACTTTTTATTGTTTTATGTTATTTGCAAACATTTATTGCATTATTTTTGTGAAACCTGTTACATAATATGAAATATTTATAAAACAAATTAATTTAAATTAATAATTAATTACATAAAACATACTGCTTAAAATATTTTAATTATAAAATTATTATTCATATAAAAAACAAATGCCTTATACTTTTCCATAATAAAATGCTTATAAATTTTATCATGATGAATTTTGTTTGTGTTATATTAGTGATTGGTCAATTTGCAATTTTAAACGCTACGCCAGTGTGGCCAACAGATCCAACCATGGTTGAATCTAATTCTCTTGTAAATATGCATTGCAAAAGCCATAAAGATTGTGCGCCGGGATATAAGTGCATGAATGACATCCCATCCGAAGAAATTGCCATATGCTTTATTAAACAAGGATAATTATGTTGGCCAAGATGTTTCACAATATTAAAATAATGCATATACAGTATATGTAAAGTTGTAATTATTACCAATAAATAAATAACTAATGTGAATTAATAAATTTTGTATAAATTAATTTTTTAATGAGTAACCTTGGACTATATTGAGGCCATTGACTTAATGTAGTCTAAGGTCATTTAGTAAAAAGATTGCCCAAAAGATAAGTTAACAGACATACAACGGACTGGAGCGCCGGGGGTTCACACACCCATCACTAACATTGGCCACTCAATAGCACCGGGAATATGTTGGAATGAAGCTCATACTCACACACATGAGACACGTAATCACCACGGTAAAATGTGTGTGTGTGTGCGAGATTGCACAGGTATGTGTACACAGACATACACACAGATCCCCTTTCTTGGTCTACAGTAACAGATAATAATAGATACCGTAAGTAGAGATAAAAGTGCCATAAAAAAGGGACAGACATCTCACACACACACAAACATCACACAAGTCGAGCCACACACTAACTATTGATTATCATTATTACCCCCCATAAACACATCACTAACTACTAAACACAATGGCTGAATGGCACCCGTACTCCGGCGGCAACATTCCCGGCGACGCAGTGGCCGGCGGTAACGACGTGAACGGCGAGACCATGTACGTCGGCCGAGCGCACGAGTCCGGCCATCTGATACCCGGCAAGATTGTGCCCTCACACGGGGTTTGCTACGTTGCCTATGAGGGCGATGAGAAAGTTCACCCTATGTACGAGTATTTGGCGAACCCCGCCTACGGCTCCCTCATCTGGCGCGGCGCCGCCGACGGACAGATACCCTCCGGTGCCATTCACGGCGGCCGCACTGCCGACGGCGAGACACTGTTTATTGGCAGAGCTTATTACGAGGGCTCGTGGGTCATAGGAAACGTCCAGGAGAGCCGTCAGGTCCTGTACGTGCCCTTTGGCGGCAAAGAAGAGGCCATTTCTGACTACGAGGTACTCACAGCCGACTATTAGATCGCCAGTCAAGTTATGTGATATGAGTGGACCGGTGCTGGTGTGACATAACATCTCTGCCGGTGCAATGAATGATGCTTTTTTTAAATTATTATTTATCGGCATTTAAATTGTATGCAGAATAAGTATTTTTTTAAAAATAAATATGGTTCAAATAATTCCTTTAATATTTCTACTAAATCATAAACTAATAATTTAAAATTATACTTTAACATGGGAATAAGTATAATTCATTTAGATAACTCTGAGCCATCTGCTCTTAATGTAGTCCGAGGTCATTTTGTAAAAAGGTTTGCCTGGGCCAATTTAATTTATTGGTGTAAACTAATTATAAAAAATCATCTCTTAATAAAAGTTTGTGTTACAAATTGTCCGTAATGAACTTTTTATTTAATCAATAAGATTATTTGTAATCAATAAAAGTTTGTTTATTTAAAGTTTTTATTTATGATAGAAATTGCATCAATTGATTAACATAAAATTGTGGTTATATTATTTTTGCTTCATATATTTATTATATTGTCCAACAATTAAACTTGTCCTACAAATATTATTTTAAATAATTTAAAATGAATTTAAATGAAAGTGAACTTGCTACACTACGAATAGTATGGGACTCATATACAGCGGATTTACCTGGCAATGGGTGTGATTTATTTATCAGGTAAATATAATTTTTTAAATATTATTAAATATAAATAAACTTCAAATTATACCAATAGTATTAAAATAGAATATATTTACAGTGTATAATCTACTGTACATTATATTAAAAGACTATCGTAAAAAATAATTACTAAAAATTAAAACACAAAATAATATAATAAAAATTACTAATTATGTCAACCATATCTAAATTTAATGACACAAATTAATTAACAAATAATTATAATTATATTATTAAAACACAGACTATTCAAAGAAAATCCATCGTATATACAGTGGTTCCCGACATTTAGCGCTCAACTGAAGGGCGATCCGCAGGTTATCGGCGCCTCTGAGGCCGACTTCGGGTGGATATCGGGATTCATAGACGCGGGTATTGCGGGCGATAAGCCGGACACTGGCAAACATCTGCGCAAATTGACCGGCTGTCACGTGAGAGCTAAAGTGACCGAGGTGATGTACGATAGGTTTAAGGAATGCTTAGTGAATGAAATGGTGATCAAATTGGGCGACAGTGTTATGACGGAAGATACGGTACAATTGTGGCATAGATTTTTTAACGATATCCGCGACACAATTTATCCTCTGCCAGGATCTATATAACTGGTATTTAAACTTATTGGTAATTAAATATCTAAACAATCATAATATTAAAGTACATAATAAGTGTATATTATTTAATTAAAACTTCAATTGTAAAATTTATTTTAATTACTGATGTTTTATTATAAATAAAAATTATTAAATATTTTAAGAAAAATGAAGTGAGAGAAAGAGAGAGATGTTATTTTAAAACAGTTTGAAATTAAATCAATTATAAATTTTTGATTATTTTTTTATTCAAAAAATAACCATAATGCGTTATAATAAAATACATTCACAAAAACGTGGGATTAAATGTTTGACTGTTTATGAACTAACAAGCTGTTATACAAAATGTTATACAAGAGTGATATGTCATTGAATTTACGCAATTTAAATGTTTATTTATAATTATTGCATTTATATTTCAAATAATTGCTTATATTTAAGAAGCATCAAAATTATATTATTATTTTACTTTAACAATAAATTTTTCAGTTAGTTATAATACAGCATAGAAATGAATCTAAATGCAAATGAACTAGCTACTTTACGCACAGTTTGGGATGCTTATTCAGCCGATTCTATCAATAACGGTTGCGATCTATTTATAAGGTAATTACTATTCAACTACATGATTTAATATATTCTGACTAAATATTATTATCATTAAAATGATGCAAAAATTACATAAATTAACAGATTATTCAAAGAAAATCCAACATATATTGAATGGTTCCCAAAGATTGGCCCCAATCTTAAAGACGACCCGGAGGTTATAGCTTTAAGTCAGACCGATATACGGTGGGTATCGCGGTTTATCGATGCGGCTATCGCTGGTGATAAACATGGCACAGGCAGATACTTGCGTAAACTAGCAGGGTGTCATGTCAGAGCAAAAGTAAACGAGGTGATGTACGACAGATTCAAGGAGTGCATACTGAGTGAATTGTTGGAAAAATTAGGTCCCAGTGTTATGACGGCTGATACGGTACAATTGTGGGATAGATTTTATAGTAATATACGAGTGGCTACATTTCCTTTGCCACCGTCTAATTAGTTATGAACTGTAAATTAAACTTGATTAACACAAGAATTGTATTTGATTTAGTTAATTAGACTAATATTTTATTAACGATGTTTGTTTTCAATTTTGTCAAACAAGTTATTTAAATTTGTTTTATATATTAAATTTAATTGTTTTATAAAAATATTTACTACAATTCAATAATTATTAAAAACCTTTGCTAATGTCTATTTAAATAATTTTAAAAATACTTAATTCAAAGTGATAAGTTTTATAATGTTAAAACATATGTTAGTAAATTAAAAAGTAAGAATTTTTAGAGGGGGAGAGAGAGAGTGAGAGAGAGAGAGAGAGAGAGAGAGAGAATAAATGTCCTTGACCATCATCCAACTAAAAAGAATATTCACAAGACAATCTAACTTTATATCTAAAATATAAATCATAATGTTATGTCACATAACCTTTGTTTATTATGAGATATTTAAGTGTTAGTTGAAGTACAGGAATATCTAAATATACCATAAGAATAATGAATTATAAATAAATACACTTCATATTTCAAATTATACTTAAATTCTCTTGATATTTATTAAATAATTTGTGAATGATGTATTATTAATGATCATAAAAATAAAACAATAGGTACAAGGGGTTATAAAAAAAACTATGTTTTATAAATAATTCAATTTTTCAATAGTACAGAATACTGCCATATAAAGTATACATACATGTAAACTGTACTGTACTGTATAATGCCAAAATATAATAGCAATTAAACCTTGGATACAGTAAATTACTAATAAATCATTATTATCAAATAATTCTTATTTTATGGAATATACCAAAGTCAACTTATTCATCTATTTTATAAAATAAACACACTGACTTATGACTTAATGACTATTTTACCACAGTGCAACCATGCACATATTGTACTTGTTCTCAATATTACGTAATAAACATGAGTAAATGCAAGAATTATCAAGAATGTTGCACAAATATATTAAATGTTACTAAAACAAGGTGGTACTTTATTATAAAATTTCATGTTTATAGTAAATGTACACTATTTGATAATATATAAAATAAATATTATTTTAAACATGAAATACAATTCTTACAATTAAAATAATTGTCTAATATTTTTATATAAATATTCAGTAGTCTATAACAAGCATGTTTCAATATAGCAAATAGAATAAATTATTAAACAATTTACAAATAATCAATTAGGAAAATCATTTAATGGATGTGCTAAATCAAGATGAATTAGCTACATTGCGTAGCTCATGGGACGTATATTTGACAAATATTGAGAGCAATGGAAATGAATTATTTATCAGGTAAATTTTTGTTAATTTTGTAATTCATCTAAGCATTTGACATTACCTTGTAAAATTTCTTGTTCTCTCTCTCTCTCTCTCTCTCTCTCTCTCTCTTATACTTTATGTAAAAATTATTATAATTTTTAATCTCATTTTCAGAATGTGTTTCACATTTTTCTCCCAACTAAACGGACAGTCGGATGACCACTACATAGCGGACAACGACCGGCAATACACCGACCTATCAGTAGACATGTTTTTTGCTAAACTATCGCTAAACACAACTAATCCTAGAGTACGAGTGGCTGTCCATCAAAGGGACCAATTGCTGAGAAATTTATACAAAATAAAACAAATTGAATTTCCGGTGGACAGTCACCGGTCCTACACCAACATCCAATACAGCACAACCCATATTAATTCACTGCAACGCCCGTACGAAACCGATTGTGTGGATTACAGCCAACACCAGAGGGCGTATAAATCGCTGGTCGATTGTATATCTAATTGTAGGATCGATGAATTCAGGCGATTACTGCCCGGTCGGTGGCCCGGAAGCTACTTGGCCTACGATCATGAGTTAAATTTAAGTATTGTTAACGTATACGACTATTTTCAAACTAATATTCCTATGGATGTTCAGCTAACTGCTAGATGTAAAACTTTATGTGGCATGAAATCTGAGTGTCACCAAGTGTATTATCAGTTACAGTTAGGTAAGCTCCCGGTCATTTGGCCGGGTGGCTATATTGTAGTGTACCCTCCCGTGCGTTCTGACTTAATCTACCAGCATTCGCCCATGATACTTTTTGATGCATTTATTTCGTACATAGCCTCCTGTGTTAGCCTCTGGTTTGGCTTTTCTATCGTAATGCTTTCAAATGTTGTTATCGTATGTTATAGATATGTACGATCTAAAAGTGTTTTGTTTTATTATAAGTTTGTTTATAATGACAATAAAATGTTTACGGTGAATTTGCATCTGCGACAAGTAATTAATATTCAAAAATCCAGACCAATTACTAGATAATTGACATTGGTTAAACATGTTTAAAATATTTTAGAAATTTGTTGGTATAATGAAAATTAATAAATGTTTCAATACATGACTATTTAATAAATTGTTTATTTTAAGTTTAAAATGTCAATAAAGTACAGTTAAATAATCACAGTTGTTTAAATTTAATCATCTTGCTAAAACTATATCATCGCACAAAATTTTGTAATTTTTAGCTCGAATGGCGCTAGATGGTATTTGTTTAATTTGTTCGTCGAGTAATGGGAATTGTACATTGAAAAAGTCAATCACCTTTATAAATAAAACAGTATTATAAATATTAAAAACAATGAACTTTCTCTCTCTCTCTCTCTCTCTCTCTCTCTCTCTCTCTCTCTCACCATTTGATGTATTTCAGCGTTAATGTGGCCCTTCATGTCCTCCACCGACATGTGTTTGTAGTATTTGTTGTAATTTTGTTCGTCATTTTTCTGTGTAATTTTGTCGGAAATATCTGTTTTGGATATATTATTGAGAATTTTGTTTTTTTTTTAATTTTTTTAAGCTCTAGTTAATTTAACGTTAATTACCTTGGTGTTCTTGTGTTGTTAGACTGTTGAATAAGCGGCCAATAAAATTCATTATTAGTAAGTTTATACAACTTTAATTATTCAATATAATTTAATTATTAAATATAATAATACTTTTAATTAATATAAATCTGTATTTTATTTTTAGTATGGTTTAATTGTAAGAGTCAGCTCTTTTTATACTGTTCATCGCTTATTTCATTATCACTACTAAATTTAAAGAGTTGTGAACCAACATGCAACTAACCACTATTATTGTAATCTATGTCCTTTAGTGCATTAGCTATACGATTAGATTACATGTACCGTATAATGAACAATCATTACCATTTTAATTTATAAATAAAGTGGATAAAGTAAAAGCAATTCGTACGTTTTGTTTGCCTTGTTTTATTACAATTTTAATTTGATGGCCAAACATGATTTTAATTTAATTAAGTATAAAATTTTAAAATAGAAATACTAAATTTTTATTATAAAAAATAACTTCTTTTACAAAAGTTGTATCATTTTTTCACTTCTTATACAAAATCAAAGTTAATTATTTAAAAATCTGTTTTATTAAATTAAATACTGTTATTTATAGTCTGGGACCAACAATAATCATCATGGCGGTAAATAGTTTAGCCCAGGCCTGTTTAGCATCATCACCAAACGAGTCAGCACCTAGTTTTTCTGTCATTTCGTCCATNGGGCGGGCACGCGATGGGGGTTCTGTAAACTAGTTATTTTTATTTTGCTTTTAAATTTTATTGTTAATAATTTTAAATATTAACAAAATACATATCAATATTTTCATATAAAAACTGTAATAAAATATTTTAAATATATTTTATGGGAATAAGTAACAAACTTTAAAAAACATTTGTATAGTTTTAAGATTAGATTTAAGTTTAAATTATAAGAGTGTGTAAAACAGCTGTCAATGTATTGCAATACAAAAGGGCTATCAATGAGAGTGTGTATTAAATAAGAGCTCAAAGAGTGTGTATAAAAAGGACTATAAACATAAATAGTACCATGGTACAAAAACAGCGCTGTAAAATGGTTAACCAAAATATGATCATAAAGTGTATGATAGCCCTAATCCTTTTTTTGTTCACTATTTATTTATTATCATGCGCTTGAAATATTTAACTTCAAATAAAACAATAATTTATTTCAATTTATGTTTAGGTAAGAGTACAGACAGAGGATTATTTATAGATTTAAAATTGTATAATGTCATTTTGATGTTAATTAATTATAAATAAAATTTCATTATGGGCAATATTGTGTTTTTTGTTGTTGTTAATTTAAAATAAATATTACATTAAAATGTATACAATATTAATCGTATGTGAAATATTCTAGAGTTTTCAAATAGTGAGGTAATAATTTCTCGGAAATTTTATAACAATTTATTAAATTCATATTAAATGCAATACAACTTTATTATAATATACAAATATCTTTACAAATACAAACATTGCTAATTAAGATAAGGTGTCAATTGGTGCACAACCTAAACGTCATGAAAGTAAGCAATGCACCCAGCATGTAATTTTACTTGTATAATATTTGCTAGTTCGAGATATCTTAAGTACTATTATCATAATTAAATATTATATTAAAATTGCAATACCAGACACAAGTATAATTTACGGTTCATTTAGTACAATATCTATCAACTTATCTCTATTATCTAATGACATTATTATTGCTATCAATATACTTTACAATCCAATGTATAATCTTAATATATTAACCAATTTAACCTTGAAGGAACTTATTGCGCTCCGGAATTTAGTCGAGGTGTATATAAATGCTCTAGCAAATTGTGAATGCATTAACAGTTACAAAATTAATTAATATATTATAATAGCTTTATTTGACAAACAATAATTTGAATTATAATTTGATATAAAGTATGATCAATTAAATAAAATAGTAATTATTTATTAAATAATAATAATATAATTTACTAATTAACAGAATGTCTGGCCTAACAGATGCTGAGATGGTTTTGCTGAAAAGCAGTTGGAACTCGTATAAGGCTGATATACCTACCGTGGGTTGTGATATGTTTATTACGTAAGCAATAAATGTCATTTTTGCAATTGATAATTATAAATTCTTAATTGTCCAGGTTGTTTGAACGGCACCCAACTTATAAAAACTGGTTTAAAACGCTAAACTATGAAGAGCCCATTAAAGGCAACCCTGAAGTAATCAGAATTGCCCGTGGTGATTTTGCATTACTCACCAAGCTCATTGATACCATTGATTCAAACGCGGCTGCCTTTGAAAAAATGCTTATTAAACTATTGGTCACACACAAGGAGCGTAAAATTACCGAGACCATGTTTCAAAAATTTAGCGTAGTTCTTATGGACGAAATGACAGAAAAACTAGGTGCTGACTCGTTTGGTGATGATGCTAAACAGGCCTGGGCTAAACTATTTACCGCCATGATGATTATTGTTGGTCCCAGACTATAAATAACAGTATTTAATTTAATAAAACAGATTTTTAAATAATTAACTTTGATTTTGTATAAGAAGTGAAAAAATGATACAACTTTTGTAAAAGAAGTTATTTTTTATAATAAAAATTTAGTATTTCTATTTTAAAATTTTATACTTAATTAAATTAAAATCATGTTTGGCCATCAAATTAAAATTGTAATAAAACAAGGCAAACAAAACGTACGAATTGCTTTTACTTTATCCACTTTATTTATAAATTAAAATGGTAATGATTGTTCATTATACGGTACATGTAATCTAATCGTATAGCTAATGCACTAAAGGACATAGATTACAATAATAGTGGTTAGTTGCATGTTGGTTCACAACTCTTTAAATTTAGTAGTGATAATGAAATAAGCGATGAACAGTATAAAAAGAGCTGACTCTTACAATTAAACCATACTAAAAATAAAATACAGATTTATATTAATTAAAAGTATTATTATATTTAATAATTAAATTATATTGAATAATTAAAGTTGTATAAACTTACTAATAATGAATTTTATTGGCCGCTTATTCAACAGTCTAACAACACAAGAACACCAAGGTAATTAACGTTAAATTAACTAGAGTTTAAAACATACAAAAACAAAATTCTCAATAATATATTCTAAACAGATATTTCCGACAAAATTACACAGAAAAATGACGAACAAAATTACAACAAATACTACAAACACATGTCGGTGGAGGACATGAAGGGCCACATAAACGGCAGTCTCATGGCTACGGGTGCTATGATGGCTGACGCGCAGGTCAGGTATCGACTGGAGGGGGGTCTGGAGTCGGTGGTGGACTTCTATGACCGGGTGATGGAATGGGTGCCACAGTTTGTGCCTAAAGTCTACGCCATGATTGAGGCCACCGAAGACCCGGCTGAGCGTCGGCTAAATTATGTCCGGTTCGCGATTAACGTACGCCTGTATCGTACAATCGGTGCGACGGCTATTGACAATCGGGCCGCGCGTCCGGTGACCATCGCTGGTGCCGACAGTGAACAGGAGTTGGCCCTACGGTTGGCCGATATTCAGGCCAATCAGTACAGGATATTGAGGGAATCAATGGCATATCTCAGTGGCAAAGGACTCGTTGTGTTCGCTGAAATACATCAAATGGTTAGTGAGAAAAAGAGAGAGAGAGAAAGAAAGAGAGAGAGAGAGAGAGAGAGTAATTCATTTTAATAATTATAATACTGTTTTACTTCTAAAGGTGATTGACTTTTTCAATGTACAATTTCCATTACTTGATGAACGAATTAAACAAATACCATCTAGCGCCATTCGAGCTAAAAATTACAAACTTTTGTGTAAAGATATTGTTTTAGCAAGATGATTAAATTTTAAAAACTGTGATTATTTAACTGTACTTTATTGACATTTTAAACTTAAAATAAACAATTTATTAAATAGTTATGTATTGAAACATTTATATTAATGTTCATTATGCCAACAAATTTCTAAAATATTTTAAACATGTTTAAACAGTGTTAATTATCTAGTAATTGGTCTAGATTTTTGAATATTAATTACTTGTCGCAGATGCAAGTTCACCTTAAACATTTGATTGTCATTATAAACAAATTTATAATAAAACCAAACACTTTTAGACCGTACATATCTATAACATACGATAATAACATTTGAAAGCATTACGATAGAAAAGCCAAACCAGAGGCTAACACAGGAGGCTATGTACGAAATAAATGCGTCAAAAAGTATCATGGGCGAATGCTGGTAGATTAAATCAGAACGCACGGGAGGGTACACTACAATATAGCCACCCGGCCAAATCACCGGGAGCTTACCTAACTGTAACTGATAATACACTTGGTGACACTCAGATTTCATGCCACATAAAGTTTTACATCTAGCAGTTAGCTGAACATCAATAGGAACATTAGTCTGAAAATAGTTGTATACGTTAACAATACTTAAATTTAACTCATGATCGTAGGCCAAGTAGCTTCCGGGCCACCAACCGGGCAGTATTCGCCTAAATTCATCGGTCCTACAATTAGATATACAATCGACCAGCGATTTATACGCCCTCTGGTGTTGGCTGTAATTCACACAATCAGTTTCGTATGGGCGTTGCAGTGAATTAATATGGGTTGTGCTGTATTGGATGTTGGTGTAGGACCGGTGACTGTCCACCGGGAATTCAATTTGTTTTATTTTGTATAAATTTCTCAGCAATTGGTCCCTTTGATGGACAGCCACTCGTACTCTCGGATTAGTTGTGTTTAGCGATAGTTTAGCGCAAAACATATCCACTGATAGATCGGTGTATTGCCGGTCGTTGTCCGCTATGTAGTTGTCATCCGACTGTCCGTTTACTTGCGAGAAAAATGTGAAACACATTCTGTGAATGAGATTAATATTGTAATAATTATGCATAGAGTATGAGAGTATGAGAGAGAGAGAGAGAGAGAGAGAGAGAGACCCATAATGATCAATTGAACGACGACATCAAATAATTTGATTATGAAATAAAAATCGGTTCAATAATCGACAGATAAAATTGAGATGAGTTGGAGAGAGAGAGAGAGAGAGAGAGAGACCCATAATGATCAATTGAACGCTTGATTTTGCTAATGCTATCGCAATGTGTAAATAAATCCCAGAAACGTTTTGATTGATTACTTTTTAATATCTTTGGTTTTAAAACAAAACAAAATTCAAACGATTCGTTATACGTGTAAAACATCTCAAACTGCTGTTTAATTGTATAATTTGAACAAAATTCAATCACTTTTTCTTTTGCTTCAATTGTGTTCATTTCATCTGAAGTGATGTTCAATTGTTTTAAGTACTGATTCCTTAAGACATGAATTTTATCAAAACATATGGTAATCGCCGGCAAAGAAATGACTGAATTTGTTTCGTAATTAACAAATGTTGTTGTTTTGTACGCGAAATATATGTCACATATTCTGTAGATTTGATACAAACATGTCGTCAAACATATCACAAAAAAATATATACCGAAAGTGTTTTTTATTTAATAGATTTAAATTATTATTATTAAGCATTATAAGTTATAATTTATAAGTGACAATAAATTTATTAGTACAAGCTCAAATAAAACTTATATACTTGTTAAGTGAAATATTGTATTTTAATAAATAATCATTAGATTAATTTTTGTAATATTTACATTGTACTAGACAATTACATTATTTCCACAATATGTAGAATGTATTATTTGTCTATGTAACATCTAATGTTATTTGCTTAAAATGTAATCAACAAATGCAACAATAATAATAATATAACATTGAGTTTCTTTAAATCAATATATTTAATATGTTTTTGTGTTACAAATAAATTGTTATTTTATTCAAATATAGAAATGACATTTGAATAAAAAATATATTTTTATAATCATAAATAATTTCTAACAATTACTCGAACGATAGCTTAGTTGAATGAAAACAACGGAATACGTTATAATAATACTAATTGTTGTCCAAATCAATGATAATTTTATAGAGAATAGTGAACAGGCGGTCAAATCAATGGGTTGTTTAAGTATATTGTTAAACATTAGGGATAACATGGTGTAACAGTCGTCGGGTATAACTGCAAAGGTGTTTGTATTTAGCATATCATACAACACGGTATATGTTTTCCGTGAATTGCCGGTCATATTTGAGGCGCTGATTACTAGTACCAGGTAGAGAAATACGATAAAAATTAATCGTGCCAAAGTTACGGTCAGATCGAACAAGTCGCCAGGTACTTTATAAATAGATACATTATAATTTATCAATATAAAATATGGATATACACTTGAAAAAATTAAATTAAAATTTTATATAAATAATATAAAATCAGTAGTTGGTCTTAACTATTACACTATGATCAAATAATTTATACCTATAGTTGTATGGCAGCGAATAAACTCTATGATAATGAAGGCAGCCCGGCACATCTCGTAAATCATCTCGATGGTGGCGAAAAGCAACGCCTCAGACATCAGGGTCTTTAGCTTAAACGCCTGACAGCTGATCATGTGGTGAATCAATTGGATCCGTTTCAGCTCGTGCTCACCAATAGTCATGAATTTATGAGCGCCGACAACAATGTCCCGGTTTAGGTCGGCAAACATCTGGCCAATCAACTGACAATTGATCACACAATATATTACTGCCAGGTATTTAGGTATGTTCAGGGCCATTTGATAAGTAATGCCGTAAACGATTATGGTGACCCGGTTAGTGACAGGATGATTTCCGTACATGTTGTTAATGAACTGGATTTGATTGAACACATAGGCCTTGATGAAGTAGCTAAACTCGTAGGATATGGCAAATACTATGACCAAAATTATTAGCAATAAGCACCGGAGTCGATATTTGCTTGATTTGCCCTCGGTCATTGTTAAACCAGGATCGATTATGCGTTCATCACAGCGAAGCCTGTATATAATTAAATGACTGCTAATTACCTTAATGATATAGATGCATAATCTAAACAAGGTGCTTCTGGTTTGTCCATTATTGTTTAACAGAAAGTGTATTTGCATGTAAATTACATATCCGCTCATAATGAGCATGATGAATCTCATGAAATAATTGGCCATACAAATGATGGCCGTGGTGGATTGCTTAAAGCCATACCATTTCATAGTAATTACAACAGGGTTTAAAGCCATTGCCGTGTAATCATGCTTACCAGACATTTTGCGGGAATGTGATGTACTATCATAATCTAGTTGTGTGCTATTTTAAATTATTCAAATTGTGTTATTCATATTTTTAATAGTTAAACTTTGATTTATTAGTTTGTTTTGCTAAAAGTACACTAATTTTGACAGATTCTATAAGAAATTAAGCATTGTTATCATGTTAATACTTACAATAAAATGTTAAATTAAAATATATTAATTCATCACTCACTGACAAATGTGTTTATTAAATATCTAGAATCTAGTAGAATCTTTATAATTATTTATAAATCATAATATTAACAATACCTACTTGCTCTCTCTCTCTCTCTCTCTCTCTCTCTCTCTCCCTCTCGACCGGGAAGTGTTATGTACTTTGACACCGATTCAATTATTTTTCTTCACAAAACCGGAATCTCTCTCTCTCTCTCTCTCTCTATGTCTGCATTTTCACTCACTCACTAAAATAAACGTACAAACATTTATACAAATATACACAAATTTTTGCTATTGTTATACTTTTTTTATGATCAATTCTTTTCACTAAACCATAGAGTATAAAGTAATATAATTAAAAAATTTCAAACAATATTGTACAAATGAACATTATATTGTTTTTATATTAATATAAATAATGTTAAAATATAATATAAGAATTAATAAATTCTTAAATTAAAGAAATAAAATATGTGTATTATTAACAACCACAATTTTAGCATTATGAATATGCTAATCATAATTATTGAGTACAGTTTGACCATGTTCAGTTTCATGATAGTCTAACCAATTAACATATGTATAGTTATATAGTTTAGGATCCGCTTTGGGATCATCGGGTATAAGACTTAGAGGTGAAACAGAAGTGGCGTTAAATGTAACCAATTTTTGGCGCAAGAATTGCACAAATCGGCGGTCCATTTGGCCGATGAGGTCGTGCTGTTCGCACGGGTCGTGACGTACGTTAAACATACAGTAATCGGACATACATTCGGGCCGGAGGTGTGAGTCGGGCACCGGTCGACACTCGACTTCAGATTCGCTGAGCACTGTATAGTCCGGTCGGCGACCCATTTGTGTTAACACGCCATACGTTTTGCTGTTCATACGATGTGTTGACCGGCGGGATGGAAACGATAGGGTTTCGGTTAACAGTGGCTGAGTATAGGGGCCGTAATCGGCCAGTGATGGCCCGAAATGCTTTTTGGTTTGAATTAGTTTCCAATCATACCATCGTATGGCCGATGAATTCCACAACTGGTCGACATTGTGCTGGACTTCCCACCGAATTGGGCGTCCATTGTTTGACAGGACATGCCATTGGGATATACCTTAATTATTACAATAAAACAAACAAAGTAAATTTAAATTTACAATGGTAAAATTGTACCATAAATATGATTCTGGTCATCAATTCCGGTGCCATCGATAGCGTCCAAAACCGTGGGCAAAAGGTCTGTGATGTGAACCAAAGCCTGCGATACGTAACTACTTTTGTTTAGCAGTGGACTCCACACCAGTGCCGGTACTCGTAATGCTATAAGTGTTAAAAACAATTTACCGGAAGAATCAATATAACTTTTCTTAAATAAATTGACATGATTAATAGAAAATACAGTCAAACCTCCTTCGTATAACAAGCTTTTCCCGCCCCTTAAGGGTAAATTTAAGCCATCATTAGTTGGCGGATGTATGTTATCTGTATAAATATACATTGATTTACTAAATAAAGTAAATTAATAATAATAGTTATTGATTATAATAATAGTTGCGCTCACGATCAAACTCCCGGGGCTGAGCTCCGTTATCGCTAATGAATATAACAATACTGTTGTCGAGCATATGTTTGCTATGGAGTGCCTCCATAACAGTGCCGATAGACTCGTCCATACTATAGACCATTGCCGCCAATAGTCGCCTGTCCTCAGACCCAATGTTTGAGAATAATTTCATATTGGGCTCAGGTATCGGATAGTTCGGAGGCTGTACGGCCTGGTAAGCCATGTATATGAATAGGGGTTGGGATGCGTTGTGTTGGTCTACAGTAGAAGCGAAATTAAATGTCACATTCAGTCACATAAACAAAACAGAAAAATAATAATCTAAATATTTAATGACCCGCAAGTCTCGTATATAATAACTGCACCGATTATATGAAGGCATCGATCGGTAAACAAATGTGTCGTATAGATGTCCGACGCGTTTGTTATGACATCCATGTTATGTTTCAAGTCGTGGCCACAATTGTCGCTAAGTAAACAATTTTTATGATTGTAATACCCGGTGGCCATCGACCAGAAGCCTACGTGTGAGTCAAAGCCCCGGTGGGTAGGGGTGAACTCACGGCGCGCAAAACCCTGGTGCCATTTACCTGCGTGTTAAACACATTGTGACCAAAAAATAACATTTAAATATAAAAATGTAAATTATTTATTTGACAATAACTGTCATCAATTTTTTGTAAATAATTATATCTGCTTTTGGAATTATTATTAAATTATGTAATTGTATATTGTGTTATCTGTTATATGTATATTAGATAACATAAAAATTTAGTGAACTTGTTTAGTAGAGTAACTAACCGACAATATGTGTCGCGTAATTATCGCGTTGTTTTAGATATTGGGGCCATATTTTGCGATCTAGTGGTAATCCAGTGGGCGAGTGGTTTATAATTATACGGTTTTGAAGGCCCAGATGTATGGGATGTACGGCCGTCAGAAGCGCACCTCTACTCGGGCTACACATGGGTTGGGCGTAGAAGTGGTTGAGAAGGACTCCATCGGCGGCCAGACTATCGATATTAGGTGTGAGGATGTGGTCGGAGTGATAGCCCACGTCTGCCCAACCCATGTCGTCCGCCACAAACAATATCACATTCGGGGCCTGTTTTGCACCCGTTATGGCTGTCATTGATTTTTGTGTACAAAAATACAACACTACTATTGAAAATGCAGTAAATTTAATTGACATTTTAAATTTTAATACCGCTTCTATTAAGTATTATATAAAGAAAATGTTTAATAAAGTAATAATAATTTTCTTATAAAATTTTTAAATACTGTATAGATATATTTTCTATTTAATATTCTATTGAATCATGCATTGTCATTTAGAATTATATTACAGCGTTGGAAAATAATTTTGCACGTAATGCTTTTCAGACGATGTAAAGACCCTTTACATTACTTAATTAACAAAATAAAAATAAATTAAATAAATATCTTTTTATCAATCAATTATATTATCATATTTATTACTAAAAAAATTAATAAGTTTTATTTAGTAACAATATTCAATTAGTCACAAACTGACCATTCTCATTTTCATGGTAGTCTAGCCAATTGACATACGTATAGTTATAGAGTTTGGGATGTGATTTGGGATCATGGGGTACAAGACTTAGCGGCGGAACAAAAGTGGCGTTAAATGTAATCATTTTTTGGCGCAAGAATTGCACAAATCGGGCGTCAGTTTGGCCGATGAGGTCGTACTGTTCGCACGGGTCGTGCCGTAAGTTAAACAGACAGTAATCGGACATACATTCGGTCTGGAGGTGTGAGTCGGGCACAGGTCGGCACTCGACTGTTGATGTACTCAACACTGTATAGTCCGGTCAGCGATTCATGTGTGTCAACACGCCATACATTTTGCTATTTAGCCGATGCGCTGACTGTTGAGTTGGGAAAGGGATGCCCGGGTTGTCGATGTCAATGAACTGATACCCGTAGTCGGCTTTTAAGGGACCGAAATGTTTGCGCGTTTGTATTAATTTCCAATCAAACCACCGAATGGCTGATGAGTTTGTCATTGGGTCCACGTTGTGCTGGATTATATTGGAATACTGGAAAATATTGCAAAAATAACTTTGTTATCATTAAATTAAAATAAATACTGTATACAAGCTTAATTAAAGTTTAAAACAGTTAAAATTAAACTAACGTTTAAAACGTCAAAATTATATAAAGGTATAGTACATTAGTGTTCACTCATATTATAAATATAGCAATTAAACATTTTTAATAATTTTTATTAAACTTTAGTATAATAATTTCATACAATAAACAATAATAACCGACAATATGTGTGGCGTAATTGTGGCGTTGTTTCAGATATTGGGGCCATATTTTGCGATCCAGTGGTAAACCAGTGGGCGATTCACTTCTAATTATATGGCTCTGAAGGCCCAGATGTAAGGGATGTACGGCCGTCAGGAGCGCACCCCTACTCAGGCTACACATGGGTTGAGCGTAGAAGTGGTTGAGAAGGACTCCATCGGCGGCCAGACTATCGATATTAGGTGTGAGGATGTGGTCGGAGTGATGCAAAATGCAAAAACTACATGAATGTAAAGTTGTGCATTATCATTTAATATAATATGAAAATATAGCGCTTTAATTTTATCAAATATTTGCCATGACGTAAAAAATATAAGAAGATTAACGAGGTAAGTTATAATATAATAAATATATTTTTAGTTAAATTATAGGTTTTAATTATTTTAATGGTTAATAACAAATTAAATATAATTAACAATAACTAAACTTTTAAGTTGTTTAATTTTTGTGAAATAGAGGGCAGGAGAGGGGTTGAGGAAGAGAGAGGGCAAATATGCATGTATTTATTAAATAATAGATTAACAAACAATTAGTTATAAATATAATTAAATATTTACCTTTAAAATTAAAAATATATATAATGTTTTGGTTAATATATTATAATGATACTGTATATTAAAGTAACTAAAAATAGAAATATTACGTGACTTATAACATGTGTTGTATTATACAACTTGTATACATTATATAAATGATTGAAACACAGAGGGTAATAACTCATATGTAAAATTCAATGTATGTATTTATCATAGTCAATAGTTTAATATTGATTCAATACATTCAATGTTTATACCATGGTTATACATTGAGTTTTACATATAAGTTATTACCCTCTGTGTTTCAATTATTTATATAGTGAATGCAAACTTCGTATTTCGAATGTATTGTATATACTGTACACAACACATGTTATAAGTTCGAAGTTCGAATGTGATATATAAAATTGGCGTCAGTTCTTCATAACTATCTATAAGTTAAACTATCTTTAGTTATGTCAGCTCAATATATTTTGATTAAAACAATCGCAACTGTCGCAATTTTTGTGTAAAAGGCAATAAGTATCCTAATATATAAATATAGTAATTATATTTCATTCACATACGTATTACAAACATATCCAGTACAAAGTATTTAACAATTTAGCAACATGGTTAGTATTGTGCTCTAGAATACATTTTGTGTTTTATAAGTAATTGAAAATTGATTCAATGAACCTAGGTAGACTGGATTAAATGTGTGCCCTTTGTTGGTACAACTATTAGTGTGTGCGAAATGGGCAAAGCGATATATGAACGCAATAGTAAGAAAGCGTTGTGGAAATTGGGCGAGACTGTTGTCGGTGCCACTATGGATACGGTCACTGTATTAAGTGTTGGTTCGACAGTCATTGCCAGCACATCGGCTAAAACTGCGGCCAAAGTTACAATATTTGCCATTGTAAAAAAAATTGCAGTATCTGAGGCTGTAGTAGTTGCCGGCGCAACAGTGGGTCGCGCGATTATTACGACCGTTACTGGCAAAGAGGCTGACAAATGTGATTATGTTAATAGAGGTGAGTAAATTTTATGTCAGTTTAGACAATACATAGAGTATTTACTATTTCAATCATTAAAAATTCACTTAGCCGAGGGTGGTAGTCCACGATGGATAGTGAGCGACACTCCAAACGAAAAAATAAAACGGCAGCTAAATGATATTTTTGTCTACATTTCAAGCAATGTAATTCAAACAAAGTTGTATAAATATTTTAATTATAGTCATAGCGATTGAATTACACAATGCCTAGTGTTTTCATATGAGTCTAGATTTATATATAAAACTATTTCATTATTTTTCTTATATTTTCATACAATCATTATTGACATCATATTATCAAAAGGTACCATATAGAGTTATAACTGACAATGGTGGCAGAGAGCCTAACGACGAGGTAATTAAATGGAGTGGCCTGGAATGTGAAGGGGACAAACCTGATGACAAAGATGAATTGACAGACCATGATAAGACAAAAGCCAAGCTCAACAAGGATTTGCCCGATAAGGTGATACCAATTACTGGCAAAGAATCTGACAAATATGGTGGTAGTTGTGATGGTGATTTTAATACTGGTCAGTAAATTATATTGGCTTAATGAAAAAGTAACGGGACTGATGTAATAGAAAATAGAAAATGCATCTTTATTGTGACTAAAAAATTAATTAAAATTATAAAATAGCTATTAATATCAGTAACTATAGGTCATCATTCAAACAAATTTTCATTTAAATCCCGATAAAAATGGTTGCCCTGAGAGTCAAAGAAGTGTGATGTCTGTTTTAACCACTACTTTTGTTTAGCATTTTGCACCCTTAAAACATGACACGAGAGAATGGTATTAACAATCATGTGATAGTGGAATAACTGGAGTATATGGTGGGTGTGAAGAGGATTGCCTTTCAAAGTTTTCTATTTTTTCGGGTGATTTTAAAAAAATATGGTCTAAAACTAGGCCAAAAATAGCCATATTTCGAGCATATGTTTAATTATCGGCTCCGGACACCACGGGAATTGCTTTTAAGGGGTCATAAATTGTTGGTTAGTGAAAGCACATTCTACCAATAATTTCATGTATGGATGTCATGAATTTGACACATCCCGATCATTTAGCACATGATTTTTCACTTTCCGCGGTCGGCCCGTTCGGGTGCGGTTTTAGTGGACATAGCCAATGGGTATAGACTTATTAAACAATTTATAATATTAATTGGTAAATAATACATCACTTAAAACTGATACATTGTTTTTGTGAGCAAATTTACTAACCCTCATGAATAAAAACTAAAATATTAGTGACTGATAGACTGATATAAACTGATAGTTTAAATTTTCAAATGTGTTCGGTATAGTGCCTTTGTGTAAAATCAACACGTCTTGGTATAAATTTAATATTTTTTTGACATAAATTTAAACACATTAAACACATGTATTAATTAAAGTTGGAACCGATGACCTGGCTCATAACAAAACAATTTTAAGACTTGGTCAAACATAACGTTACAAAAAAGTACCGCTATATAAACATTAAGCCAATATATCAGTTGAGAAAATACATAGAGTATTTACAATTTCAATTACTCAAAATTTGTTTAGCCGAGGGTAGTATAATAATGAGACAAGCAGCTATAGATGCTCAAAGATGGTTGCAACAGAAGCTAGTTCTAACGAGTAACTCGGAATGCGAATGTGACAAACTTGATGACAATGATGTATTGACTGACCATGATAAAACCAAAGCCAAGCTCAACAGGAATTTACCCGAAAGGGTGAAAACAGTTAGGCTATTAATCCATGGTCCGATCAGTGAAGTGTCATATAAGATAATTGATGGGCACAGCATCGTACATTATTCCCGGTCTATAGTCACCAAGAAAGATTTGAGGGAAGGAAAAGACGTGACTGATGATGATAGAAAAATCATCGAAGAGATAGGAATAAGTAGTAAAGGTAATTTAAAAACATTCTACCATTATGTTTTTTGTCAATTATTTGTAATTGTGTAATTATTTCTACGTTCTGACAAGGTGCTATTTAGAAAGTGGCGAGGTTTACATGGATTTTAACAAGGGCAAAGGATATTACTTCGGTTGGGGTTGGAATCCGCATCCTAATATAATCAAATCAAATAAAATCAAACTCTGTGAAGAAAGTGATTCATCGAATTAAATTCAAGACTTAGATGAATAAATTATATTATATTTTAACCAATATTATTATCATTTAGTTTTATATTTAGCTTTACATTTCTGTTTTACCTTTTCAATTCAATTCCAAAAGAATTCCTTTAGAATCTATTGTGAATAACAGTTTCATCCGTTTTTTTATTTTAAGATTTTAATTAGAAACAGCACTACATATCAACTCATAAATTTATTTATTTAAAATTTCTCTTTTATAACATTACATTTAATTATGTTTTTATACATAAAATTACAATACATTATGATTGCAAATATATCTCATTCGTAACACTATTTTATTGTTTTTTATATAAATCCATTATAAAAGTATATATTTTTATAAAATAATGAAATCATTATTAAGTTGGATATAACGACAACAAACGATTTGGGTTTACGATATAAAATGTGATATGAAATAGTTACTAAATAACAGATTTAGTACCGCACAAATTATTCATTAACCTAGATGAATTTAAGTTAATTAACTGGGTTTTAACAATTTTTCGGTATTTTTAAATCGTGGCCACAATTGTCGCTAAGTAAACAATTTTTATGATTGTAATACCCGGTGGCCATCGATCAGAAGTCCACGTGTGAGTCAAAGCCCCAGTGGGTAGGCGTGAACTCACGGCGCGCAAAATCCTGGTGCCATTTACCTGTATGTTAAACATATTGTGATCAAAAAATAACATAAAATATAAAATCTGTAAATTATTTATTTTACAGTAATTGTCATCAATTATTAGTAAATAATTATATCTACTTTTGGAATTATTATTAAATTATGTAGTTTTATATTGTGTTAACATAAAAATTTGGTGAACTTGTTTAGTAGAGTAACTAACCGACAATATGTGTCGCGTAATTGTCGCGTTGTTTTAGATATTGGGGCCATATTTTGCAATCCAGTGGTAAACCAGTGGGCGAGTGGTTTATAATCATACGGTTTTGAAGGCCCAGATGTATGGGATGTACGGCCGTCAGGAGCGCACCCCTACTCGGGCTACACATGGGTTGAGCGTAGAAGTGGTTGAGAAGGATTCCATCGGCGGCCAGACTATCGATATTAGGTGTGAGGATGTGGTCGGAGTGATAGCCCACGTCTGCCCAACCCATGTCGTCCGCAACAAACAATATTACATTCGGGGCCTGTTTTGCACCCGTTATGGCTGTTATTGATTTTTTTGTACAAAAATACAACACTACTATTGAAAATACAGTAAATTTAAGTGACATTTTAAATTTTAATACCGCTTTCTATTAAGTATTATATAAATAAAATATTTAATAAAATAATAATAAGTTACACTAAATTATACTAAGGATAGAGCGAACAAATGAAAGTTTGGTTACACATGTATTTTATTTAAGAATACTATTTCATTTTGTATTTAATATTTTATTATATACCTAGTCAACATAATCTGTCGCCGCGGTTATTGTGATTACAGCTAAACTAGAAGAGCTAGATCAAATCTGTAAAAAGTAAAATGAAGGTCCACATGTCTAGATTTTTGGATAAAAAAATTACTGAAATCACGTGACTAGAACATAGAAATTTTTGGGTCAAATCGATTTGCCACGTTTTTTGCCCACCTAGATGGGGCTAGGAAGGGGGCCGGTATGCTAATCTTTAGAGGAGATGTCAAAGACTATGATAGCAAAATTTGATTTAAATCCATTCAGCCATCTACGAGAAATTGTCAATTTTATTAACATTACGTCTATGGGGAAAAATGGTTCTGAAGTTGACTTTTTATAACAACAAAAATGTAGTATACTGTAAATATTTTTGCACGTAATGTTGTTTACATAATGTAAATATAATAATTATAATTCAAATAAAAATAAATTATATCATTATTTTTCATCAAACAATTAGATTATTATATTTATTACTAAAAAATTAATTAATTTTTTTAGTAACAATATTCAATCAGTCACAAACTGGCTATTTTCATTTTCATAGTAGTCTAACCAATTAACATACGTATAGTTATATAGTTTAGGATCCGCTTTGGGATCATTGGGTACAAGACTTAGCGGCGGAACAGAAGTGGCGTTAAATCTAACTATTTTGTTGCGCAAGAATTGCACAAATCGGCGGTCCGTTTGGCCGATAAGGTCGTACTGTTCGCACGGGTCGTGCCTTACGTTAAACAGACAGTAAGCGGACATACATTCGGACCGAAAGTGTGAGTCGGGCACCGGTCGGCACTCGATTGTTGACGTACTCAACACTGTATAGTCCGGTCGGCGATTCATGTGTGTCAACACGCCATACATTTTGCTATTTAGCCGATGCGCTGACTGTTGAGTTGGGAAAGGGATGCCCGGGTTGTCGATGTCAATGAACTGATACCCGTAGTCGGCTTTTGAGGGACCGAATTGTTTGTGGGTTTGTATTAATTTCCAATCAAACCACCGAATGGCTGATGAGTTCGACACCGGGTCCACGTTGTGTTGGATTTCCCACCGAACAGGTGGGTTATCATTAGCTATTGTACTCCATTGCGACACACCTTAATTATTTGATTAATTAATTATTCATAAATATTTAATAGAAGTAAAACCTTATGATGTACATTAATACAAAATCGTGTGTTTTTATATAAAACTAATGTGAATATTCTCTCTCTCTCTCTCTCTCTCTCTCTCTCTCTCTCTCTCTCTCTCTCTCTCTCTCTCTCTCCTCACTTACACACTCTTTCATTCCTTATTATAGATTACAATACTAATAAATAAAATACAATGTACCATAAATATGATCTTGATCAACAATTCCTGTGCCATCGATCCCATCCAAAACAGTGGGCAAAAGGTCTGTGACGTGAACCAAAGCCTCCGATACGTAACCGCTTTTGTTAAGCAAAGGACTCCACACAAGTGCCGGCACTCGTATGCCTTAATTAATATACAAAATTCACATATAAACGTGACGAAATTAACATGAGCATAACAACAGTCAAACCTCCTTCATATAACAGTGATTTCCCGCCCCTTAATGGTAAGTTTAAACCAGCATTTGGGATGGGTAATGGTGAACCAGGATCTAAATAGGTAAGTTTATTTTATAAATTTAAATTTTAAACACAATTAATTTATACTTACCGACACCTTCATATGGTTGTCCGCCGTTATCGCTAATGAATATAACAATACTGTTGTCGAGCATATGCTTGCTATGGAGGGCCTCCATAACAGCGCCGATAGACTCATCCATACCGTAAGCATTGGCCGCTAACTTTT